GCCCCCAACAACAATCCGGGTCCTCATTTTACCCACCTTGGAAGGATGGAAGGCTGAGTCAACCCTGAACCGGTGAGATTTGAACAGCCGAATTGCAGAACTACAGTCAGCTGAAGTAGCCTGCAGTGCTGCATTTAACCACTGCGCCACTTTAGCTTCTCAGTTTGAGGTTATGCTCCCATGTTCTTGATTTTTGCTTAATATTGAAAATACTGCCTTCTAGAATCTTATTCATACAATATATTTAAAAGGTTTCAATTATGTCACACACACCCTTTTTTTTCCTTTCTGTCCTCCATGCTGTACTTATTCAGTTCCTCCAATCTCTCTGGGTATCTCAATCTTATAAATACCTTTTTTTGAGTGAGGTCTCTAGAACTTTATAATATTCCAAATGGAATTTGACTAAAGCCCTACATAACAGGATTAGGACCTCCTATTTTTTCCTGTTGGTGATCTCTCTCTAGTGATGCATCCCAGAATTTTGTTTGCCTTCACAGCCACAATGTTTATTCATTTTGCAGTCATCTGCTATGAGCACACCTAAATCCTTTTCTTTCTTTTTTATAAAGAATTCTTTTTATTTTTCAATTACAAAAACAAACATTCCATCTTTCCTTATGCAAGTGTCGTCTGGGTACAAACATCTCTGTGCAACATGGTTCCTCATTTGCCACATCTTTCACATTCATATTAACATTATTTCCCTAGACTTAATACTATAATATATTGAAAATTTAAACAGTTTAAAACACTCCATTTTTCTTTTTTATATCTTCTAGTGATAGTACCATATTAACATTAAACATCATTATTCTCAGCATACACATACTAACATTTTCATCTTATTTATATCTCTATCTTAATATATTTTCTACTTATTTTCTAGCCTCCTTCATTTCAAAGTCCTTTTTTATTCTCCAGCCATTGGTAAAATATTTCCCAAATCATATAATATTCGGTTTGCTCTTCCCCCTTAAATCTATTCATTTCTGCACATTGTAATATTTTCCTTATCATCTTCTCTTCAATAGGAATCCACACTTTTCCAATGTTGTGCAAATACAATTCTAGCTGTGGTTAATACATGAATGATTAAATATACATTATCTTTATTATAAATTTCAGGTAGAATTGCTAGCAGAAATGTTTCTGGTTTCAACTCAATACATTGTTGTGTCATCTCTTCCAACCATATCTTAATTTTTGTCCAATATTTCTTTGCTTCTCCACATGTCCACCATGTGTGATAGTAAGATCCAGGTATTTGGTGGAACTTCCAACATTTAGTTGAATTGTCTTAAACATCTTTGCCAACCTCAGTAGTGGTAGATGTCTTCTGTAAAACATCTTATACAAATTCTCTTTATATGCAGTTGACATTGTTAATTTATAATGCCTATCCCACAATTTCTACCATTTATCTAATTCTATCGTATAGCCAAAGTTTTTCACCCATGCTATCATTGTCTCTTTTACTTGTTCCTCTTCCAGTTTTATGCCCAATAAGTAATTATACAATGTCTTTATTAACCTTTTTTCTGTTCCTGTTAAGATTTCATCTAACCATTAATTCTTTGTAAAAACCCTGTAATTTAGCATCTTTCTCATATCTAGACTGTATCTGCACATGAGAATACCACATTATATCAATCACTTGCTCACTCTTTTCTTTCATTTTAAGTCCCCCTTCTTCATTCAAGATATCTTTATATCTGACAATGTTTCCCATATTAATAATATTTGGGTGAATCAATGCTTCCATTGTTCAAAGCCAACCGGTATCCTTAAATAATGTAGTTCTTTAATTTTCTCCCACACCAATAATAATGCATTCCTTATATAATGTCTCTGAAAATATTCATGTATCTTATTTTTCCCATACCATAAGAATGCATGCCAGCCCAGTTGTAAATTGTGTCCTTCCAACGTCAATAATCTTATATTCCACAGTACAATCCACTCTTTCATCCATGTCATCCATCTATATCAGTACTGTCGCCTGATAGTACAATTCCCAGTTTGGTAGTGCAAAGCCTCCTCTATTTATTACATCGCATCATTTTCAGACCAATTCTTGCTTTTTTTTCCCCCTTGCCAAATATACTTATGTATTATTTTATTAAGTTCCTCAAAATATTTCTTTTCCAATTTTAACGGAATTGTCTGGAATAGATACAGTAATCCTGGCAGTATATTCATTTTAATTGTTGCTATTCTTCCTACCAAAGATAATTGTAGATTCCTCCATTTTTCCAGATCTACTTGGATTTGCTTCAACAATTTATAGTAATTATCTTCCTTAATTATTACACATCTTGCTGTCAACTGGATCCCCAAATATTTAACTTTCTTTACTATCTGAATGTCTACCCTCTTTATTAATTCTCTTTTTTACTTATCTCTGAGATTTTTAACTAAAATCTTAGTTTTCTCTTTATTTATTTTCAGACCTGCCACTTCTCCATATTTTTCTATTTTTTCTATTAATTTGGGCCTTGTTGTTAATGGCTCTGCCAAAATAAAGGCTAAATCATCTGCAAACACCTGCAATTTTTATTGTTCCTCCATGCCTTTTATCTCTAGGTCTTGACTAATATTTCTATTCAGTACTTACAATGTCATATAAATAATAATGGAGACAGAGGGTATCCTTGTCTTGTATCTTTCTTAATACTAACTTTCTCAGTCATATCTCCATTTACCATCACTTTTGTGGTTTGCTTATGGTATATCGCCCTTATGCATTTCAACAAATCTCTCCCAAAAATCTTATCTTTTTTAACTGTGCTAACATAAATTGCCAATTCACATTGTCAAATGCTTTCTGTGCATCTAAGAAGATCAACACCATTTGCTTCTCTGGATGTGCTTCATAATACTCCAAAGTATTCAAGATTGGCCAGCAAACCCGCCTGACCTGAACCCCCTATGGGGCATTGCCAAGAGAAAGATGAGAGACATGAGACCAATCAGTGCAGAAGAGCTGAAGGTAGCATCCTGGTCTTCCATAATACCTCAGCAGTGCCACAGGCTGATAGCTTCCATGCCACGCCGCATTGAGGCAGTAATTGCTGCAAAAGGAGCCCAAACCAAGTACTGAGTACATATGCATGCTTATACTTTTCAGATGTC